CTTTTCACAAATTCTTCAAGAATATCGGGAAATATGTTTGGATGAGCCATGCACTCCACTGGCTTTGACGTGGGCTAGTGGACCGCCGGTATTCTTTATTTAGACAGTTTTTGCCCTCACGGAAAAGACTCGTAAAATCAAGCGATTTCGAAGGTTATGCAGGGAGACTTGCTTGGTGCCCTAATTCCGCCCCTGTTTGCATAGACTGGGGCAAAAACGCTGAAAAAACGAACATGGTTGTTCTATCAAATAACCACCCACTTTTGCGACGCCATCAAATTTGTTGGTCTCCTCATTTTTATAGGTTTCCACATACTGCCGTTGAACATAGGTGTACTTGTCACACATGCGAACAATGCACATCACTGGAAACAACTGCTATTATGGTACTTATGGTTCTGAACTTGTGATCTACAGGGTGGCCACAAATTACGGTAACAAGAGCAGCCGCATGCATGTTTAAAGTCGAAATCAGATAATTTCCACTGGCGGTTGTAGAGGACCAGAAAATCTCTCGAGAAGAAGGCCCACGAGCATGGGAAGGCCCAATTTCTGGATTCTCGCCATTCACCTAACACGCCGCGGTGATGGGTTGCACGGATACTTTGCTCCTTTGTCAATGTCAGCATCAGCCAGTTTGGGAAGAAACCCTGTTTTTTGTTCCTAACCTTCATCTAATATAGCTGTGTTTTCCGATTGACATTTACATGCTGTATAGATTCTCTGTTATCACTTTATCTTGTTACCGTAATTTGTGGCCACCCTATATATTCTAGACGGGGCTCAAGTTTCAATAGTACAGTTTGGACCATGGGCCAGGTAGACGAGATTGACCTACTCGACCTCTGTCATTCGACAGCAAAGGAAAAAAAGAAAAGAAACGAACCGAGAAACGTGCCGACGCCAAACAGCAGTAGAATCATCCAAGCATAAATCTGCGATTGGGCTTCCAAGTTTGACGCATCCCATCCATCCAGGTTGCATATACAATGTGGGCAGTACTGAAACCTTCGCTTCAAAAATCAAATATATAAGGAGTTCCGACTTTAGAACCCTAGATTCCATGTTGTTGAGTGTGGGAATCAGGCTCAGGTTTAACCACTGGGTTGGAAAGTTTCAAAGCAGAGCAGACGTAATTGATAAAAAATTCGTATACAGAGGGCGGAAGTGGTGTAGTGGCAAGTGGCACGCTTACCACGCGAGCGGTCCGGGGATCAAATCCTGGGTCGTGAGTCGCCCGGGCCAACCAAGCCTTCCATCCCTCCGGGGTCGGTTAATTGGTACCAGACTTGTCTGGGAGGATAAAAACACTGACTTGTACATCGGCTGGCCCCCGCAAGTCATTGTATAGGCCACATCGCATTCAAACGCCACTACGAATGTACAAATGGAAGTAGAATGCGTGCCGCATCCCAAAAAGGGATTGATCAACGGCAAATGCTTTATTTTTATCTTTAACAAACAGTGAACTCACACTCCCTCCTCCTGACATTTTTTCAAATTCCTGGCTACTTCTGTAGTATTCGAGCACAGTGACATTCACGCAGTGATGTGATGTGTTCAACGGGCAATAGTTATGTGCAAGAAGACAACGGTAGTAGCTGGAACATCGAGCAGAATGACAGGTAAAGTGTTGTGACACGAAATTGCTGTCATAAGCTGTCTATGATATTGGGTTCATAAGAGTTTTGTCCATTACATATCACTGTGAGCCACACCTTCAGGAGACCGCTGTCCACTAATTATATCGCCAATCAATGTATCACGACAAAGACACGCTATGAGGGGTAGGGGTGTCCATTTGAACCCACCTCTTGTATCCTCGCTAGTTTTGCACGGCATGTTCCCGTTTATGAAGACAACAACCAAGTATTGTAAAGATAAACTAACGACACCACCGTCCAGGAATTACCCACGAAACAGCCCGCAGCATGGTGAAGCAGCCGCTTGCTGCCACAATCTCCACCAAGAAGCGATAAGGTCGACCGAATGAGTGACGAGATTTCCAGGCACTCTACAATTCTATCTCGCTATATATAATGATGTAGTAGTTTCTGAAGGCAGTGAGTATGATGAATTGTTTGGCGATCGATAATGAACGTTGGGACGTTAAAGGGTGTTTCTGTGAAAAAGAGGCTAAGTAAGACGGTCTAAAACTGGCAAAATGAGGCCCCCATTCTGCTTGTTGATTTGTGGTACTGGTTGAGATTTAACGGTAGTCACGCCAGCATGAAAACGCCATGTTTCCGTATAAGAGCTAGAAAGCGGACAGAAGAGCGGCCATCAGCAAAGGCAGTGGGGCACTTTGGCTGGCACGCGCATAACGCTATTGAGGACGTAGCAGAATTTTGCAAGGAGAGGCAGAATCGTTCAAGAGCGCCTTCTGCCTAAATAAGCCCAACCTCTTCTGTTTGAACATCTAATTCCCTATCGAATAATATATGTTCACCTTCTTCGCCTAATGAAATTATCGGCATTCTTCATTCAGAATTTGAGGGGGGGGGGGGCGGGTAAATGTGCGTGACGAGTTAACGAATATGTCTCCAGCTTCTTCAGCAACTGTCACAAACCTCTAACCCTTATTTATCTATTTATTTATTTCTATTTATTTAGTTATTTATTATGTTATTTATTTATTTATTATTTATCGCTGTATATTTCCAAGGCCACTGGCGAAGCCGTGCCACCAATCCCTGGGAATACGTAGGAAAAGCAATGAAGAATAAAAGAGCTAAACAAGCGCGTAAAAATAAGCGTAAAATTATAATATAATGTATATACTTATATATCTTTATTATATATGAACATGTTTGCTCCTCGTAAAGGAGTAGTGAGAGGTCTGTCTATTTTTTCTTTGCTTAATATCACGCTTTCCTCACTCAAAAAAGCCTTGGGTACTACTTCATGAAAGGACAGGAGCAACTGAGGAATCAACCAATAGTCCGTAATTAGATTTTCTGAAAAAAAGACGAGAAGAGAATATCCAAGAAAAGTATGGTAAAAGGGAGATCAGTTGTAAGGCCTTTAGTCATCGAAAATACTCGGTCCATGTAGATTGAATAACGTCAAAATCTGTATGGAGGATCAAGTTTCAGTTAGTAGTGATAAAGTTCAAAGGGGCAGCAGAGATAGTGCGAGTGCCACCTCTGCATGGCCCACGATAGATTCAGGATCAATCTTCGCTGAGGCCATTCAGAACCGCTACATGTTCAGAAAAATAACCGGACCCTTACGAGAGGACAGCAGCGCTGATAACCACATGCAAACGCGTACCACAGCTCAAAAAATGTCCAACTTGGAGCGACTTTATTCATCGTTTTATTACCTGCAAGCATGTGCCGTGATAAAATTTCATGTGGTTGTGTTCAGGACAATTCCTATGATGAATAAAGCGATCGCTGGACCAAACATGAACACCAATGAGTGGTAAACATTGAGCGGAAACGAACATGGACAAGCGAATGTCAGTTTCCGAATAATCTAAAAATATGGTTACTTCCATTACCGTAGCTTAAACTCACTTTTTTCTGATTCAACATGTTTATTTTACTAGCTTGAGCTCAAGGAACATTAGAAGACGAATCTAGGTCAGCCAATACCTTCAGTGAGCACAGTGAAACTATACAGAAAGATAACCAAGAGCTTACAAGTCATGGTGCCTGGTACACTAATCCTATGGATCTTCGTCTATCGCACCCAAGTCTTCACACGCTGGCGCTTCGCTCACCGCACTAAAAAATCTCTCACGGTCAAATGTTGACTGTTTTCTTCCCGTTCTCTTCATTCGTACGGGGGGGCGAGGGGGGGGGGCGGGGTCCGGGCTGATTCACCTTAAGGCGACCTCGCAATCAGTTATTCGCAACCCTGTTTTTTCGCGCACCATGTCTCATATCACCACGTCTAGTATTATAAAACTCATCGTTGAAGAAGATAAGCTTCACTTGTAGATTTATTGTTCAATTGCTGCCAATAAAGGATTCCTGAATCGACGGCGGTTATTTATAACAACCCCATTTCACATAGCTGACCCTATAAAGTACCTTTGAATTTGCATCCATGCTTTCTCATATGTGCTTTGAACTCAACCTTTTGTTCAGCCTTTATCCAACTCGAGGAAAGCCATTTGTGCATTGCTCACCTAACTCACCATTCAATTCCTGAGAAATTGGCGCTTGTAAGCAATTTGGGGATGCCGGAGACATCCAGGCACCTTTTTACAGGCATGAAATACTTCACAATTACAATCATAATGATCGCAAGCTGAGTAGAGGAGAGAGACCAGAGGAGTAATACGTGCCATCCTGCAGCGGAAGAAGCTACAGGATGGCCGTAACGTAGTCTTTACACCACAACACCCCATGACCTAGCGGTCCAGCCTTTGTCTGCGTCTCTCTCGCCTCTATCTTCTCTCGTTGCCTCGTCGTCATAATCTCTCACTCTAAAACACACTCTCTTCTGTTCTGTGAGCTCCTGCAATACCACATACGCAGATAATCATGGAACTTTTGACACCTTCTGCTCCTTTCTTCATTGTCAGGACATTTTCGAGCCAAGGGTGAGCGCCGAGAGAAACAGTGCACTCAGAAATGTTGTTTAAAAACAGCAAAACATGGCAAAAGACAGATGTTCTGAGAGATTTGAGAGAAGCGGCAGTGCGAACAACAACTTAAAGGCAGCGCCAGACGCGATGAAGGCCTGACTTCGCCAGGTGAGCAACTCAGCAGAACGAAGAGACTTACCGACTGGCCACCAATGGTGGACACGACCAGAATAATATTCAAGAACGTTGATCCATGATTTGAAAACAAGTTTTGGAATACATTCACCACAGAATTAGCGCCCGACATGGTCCTGGAAATAGCCGAGTACTGATAGCAGGACTCAGCCCGTTGTTAAATACCTTGGAAAGAATCAAATGGTAAAATGTAGATGCCAGGGACCGTGACCCGTTAAGATACCCCTTACTCCCTGTGATGGAGATCGACGCTTCAGCCCTGGCTTACTTACATGTAGCTGAAACCTGTTCCTACAATTTCTCTCTATTTATTTATCGAGCTATTCACCTATTCAATTATTTTATTTACTTATTTATTTATTTACTTATTTGTTGCGCTAGAGAGGCGCTCCACAACACAATTTTGATCTAATGTTGAGCGGTAATCCAATTATGAAAACAAGGGGAGGCTCTAGACCCAGCTGATCAACCCCTCCATATAAGTAATCCTCATGTTCTGATAATCCTCTTTGTGCGACGCCCTCCCTGGCAAGGAGACATACAGGAACATGCGGCTCGGATGACTACAGTAATCTCTAATGCTGCCTGAGAAGGCTTTTGCACTTTTCAGAATTGCAAAAACAAAAAAATGTCAAAAACTCACGACGATACGCCCTTATGAGCGTTTCCAAAGCGAATGACGACAGTCGGGTAGAAAGCATGTTGCCAGGCAACGTCACAGCGGCACGACCGTCATAGAAAACGTAGACAAAACAAAGAGGCGCAATAAACAGCCGAATACGATATCTAATTATTTGACGGTGAATAAAAGGTTCGAGAGCGGATTCCATCAGAATGAGCTAATTAGCTTGGATGAAAATGCTCTCCGCTTAGAATGTGCCATTAAGTCCAGCAAGCTCATGTAGTCAATCCTTTTTACAGGGTCTTTTTTCCTTGATAGGAGGAGGGGCCTGTACTTGGAATTTTCGGGTACTTCGAACTGGGTCGTGAGGAAGATGGAGAGGGGAGGTACATAGTCAGGGTCAAGCGTCATCTTGTGCCATTTGAAGTCTGGACATTATACGAAGTTATACGAATAAAACCCCTCTCCCACTCCACCACAACACAACCTCTCAAGTTCCACCATCATGACCCTGTTCCAAGACCGAAATACGGCTTCCCTGGTACTCTTTCACAATGTACAGTACGGTCGAAGGTGCTCGCCGAAACGAGGGTGGCAGGTTCTCGGTTTTTTTTGTCAGAAAAAATCAATGATGGCCCTAACGAAATTTTTGCTTGGATATTCTAGTTCCTCTCGCTCCTCTCGCAGGAATAAAACACTAGTAACTATACGTTAAACAACAGCGGTAGTGGAATGGGATGGTGGACGGAGTTGTAGTGGGGGGAAGGGGGCGGTTGGGGGTGTGTGATATATTATAAAATGTGAAAAAAACAACAACAAAATGTGCTGTTCGGGGTTGTGGGCGGAGTTTGCGCGGTGGGCGGAGTCTGAATATGGGCTAATACGGGGCCTACAAACCTGGCCTCACGCTACACACACCCCTGGCTACGGCACCCCGTATTAGCATATTCAGACTCGCCACCACGCAAACTCGACCCACAACCAGAAAAATCAATGATGGCCTCGAAATTTTTTTTGATATCCTGATTCTTTAAGACTTGAGGATATAAAACACTAGTAAACATAGTATATCAATCTTTGGAGGGCGTTGCTGCTGTATGTTTGAACTTGGAGGAACGTCGTACTGACCAAAATTTTCACGAGACATGACGATGCTTTTCACAAACACAGGAGCCTTGCATTGCATGTTGAGACTAAAATTGGCGCATTGAGGCTAACCATCACCAAGGTTCGCATCAAAACCTCAGACTAAGCCGGGCCCACTTTCGTACATCGGACTGGAGGATTAGGAGGACTAGTAAATTGGGTACGGTGCGGGTCATCCTCGGACCATGCAAGTTCTAGCAGCGGTTGGGACAGCCCGCCAGACAATCACCGTAATCTCATTCGATGCATATAGCACTACTTTGCCGAGTGCCTGTCATGGGTTCGTATAGTTCAAACGACGAGGAGATTTGCCCCGCATATGTCAAGTTATTCTTGGCATTAACATCAAGCGGGCTAAAAACAATTCTTGCAATTCTCATTGACAAGTTCTGCTTTTTCTCGCTTGCACCATTAGGTCTATTTGTTCCTAGACCCGGATAGCACCTCTGTGACACCTTCGCGACACACTACAATACCGCAGTTCCGCGACACTATTACATGTGCTGGATTTAATTTTGTATCTGGTTGCCACTAACGGGAGAGAAATCGAAGGTGGTTTGGACGGCACCCTGTGGTGCGCATTTCGAGCGAACAGTCAATGAGGGACATGCTGGTCAGGGCGTGCGCTATGGACCAGTTATTTGAGTACTGAGTTTTCAAATTATAACCCATGACCCAATTCCTCGATGCTGTGATAGACAGGGACACATTGCTAGGACTCCGCAGAGCTTCTTGACTCGAGAATCGGAATAGCGGTTTA